TTATAATTTCCAGGGTCTCAGAGGGGACTGGCACTACACCTACATAGGTTCTGCCCTCCTAAATAACAGAGAGTCTCTAAAGAATCACTTTCATTTAAGAATAGCAGTGAATTATAGCAGTATTGGAGCCATAGCAATCTATGAAGATGTTCAAAGAGATTTAGGCAAGGGGAAGTTTTGAAAGGCAAAAATAAGAGGATTATATCGAATATTTTGAAACAATAGYCCTGAGCCACAATGATTAACAGCGGGGAGCACAGTAAAGGTTGAACAGTTCCCAGGCAGGTATCCTCACTGAGTATTTTTTGTGCAATACTRTGGTGGCCTCTGTGGAAAGCGGTGGCTCGGGTAGTCCTTTTCGGTAGCAGTTATCAGGGAATTAAGTGTGAAGACCCTTCTTTTACAACCTCCTGGCTTTATTTACTATTGGTCTTTAAAGCTGATGTCTGCAACTCCATTTTGACCATGATAATGTTCACAGCTTGAAGGGAAAGTGAACTGAAATCTCCACTGTATCAGTTTGTCGGATTTGTCATAACACAATATCACACACTGGGTGGCTGAAATGAGAGAAATTTATTTTCTTAGAGTTCTGGTGGCTGGAATGTTTAATCAAAGTGTTCGCAGATTTGGTTTCTCCTAACAACCTTTCATTTTGGTCTGCCTTTTAGGTGAGTCCTCACATGACTTTTTCCTCTGTGTATGCACATTCCTGGTGTCTCTTTTTAAATCCTAATGTCATTTTATATTCCAAAGACATTATATTAGGGCACATGCTAAATGTCTTACTTTTTAAAATTTACTATTTTTCTTTTTATATATACATGACAGTATATTATACGTACATGGAGTATAACTTATTCTGATTAGGATCCCATTCTGGTGGTTGTACATGATGTGGACTTTCACTGGTCATATATTCATATATGGACATAGAAAAGTAATGTCCAATTCATTCTAATATCTTTCTGATTCCCCCACCCTCTACCTTCCTTAATTCCCTCCTTGAATGGAATACCAATGAAATTCTATTCTTCTCTTGCCCCCTGCTTCATKGTGTGCTAGCATCCACATATTAGAAACCACATTCAGCCTTTGTTATTTTGGTACTGGCTTGTTTCACTTAGCATCATAGTCTCCAGAAAAATGCTATAATTTTATTCTTCTTTATGGCTGAGTAATATTCCACTGTGTATACATATCACATTTTCTTTATCCATTCATCTGTCGAAGGGCACCTAGGATGGTCCAAAAGTTTGCTATAAGCTGCTATAAACATTAATCTGACTGTTTCRCTGTAGTATGCTGATTTTAAATCTATATATAGGAGTGGGATAACTGGGTCAAATGGTGGTTCTATTCCAGAGTAGTTGCACCAATTTGCATTTTTAGCAGCAATGTATGAGTGTATCTTTTCCCTTACATCTTGCCAACATTTACTGTTACTTGCAATCTTGATAATTTCCATTCTGAATGGAGTGAGATGGAATCGCAGTGTAGATTTTTCTATTTCTATAAAGAATATCATTGGAATTTAATAGGAAGTGCAGTAAATCTGTATAGCACTTTTAGTATTAAGGCCATTTTGATATTATTAAATCTGTCTATCCAAGRACATGGGCAAACTTTCCATCTTCTAAAGTCTTCTTCAAYTTACTCCTTTAGTGTTCTAGAGTCTTCGTTGTAAAGGGTTTTCACCTCCTTGTTAAATGGATTCCCAAGATTTAATTGTTGTTGTTGTTATTGTGTTCTTGTTTTGTTTTTGAGGGTATTTTGAATGAAATAGGCTTCATAATTTCTCTTTCAGTTGATTCATCACTGATGTATAGGAATGCAATTGATTTACTGGTGTTAACTTTACATTTTTCTACTTTGCTGAATTTGTTTATGAGTTCTAGAAGCTTTCTGATAGAGTTTTTGGGCCTTCTAAATATAGAATCCCATCGTCATCAATAGGGATGGTTTCAGTTCTTCTCTCACTTTAATTCAATTTTTTAAATTATTTATTTTTATTTTAACTTCTATTTTTTGATGGTGCTGGGGATCAAATCCAGAGCCTTGTATATGCTAAGCACATAGTCGGCCACTAAGCTACATCCCAGCTTTCATTTTAATGTAATTAACTTCTCAAAGGCCCTGTCTCCAAACACAGTAGTATTATAGATACTGAGAATTAGGACCTCAACATATAAGTTGAAAGAAGACACAATTCAGTTTGTAACATCTGCCATGATCAAAATACTGAAAGCAATTACCAAATACCAAGGAAACAACAGAAAGTGATACCATCCCCTTTAAATATCTAAAAGTGCAATCTCTTCATGTCCTCAACCATTTCATCATTTTAGTAAATAAAAGATCCAGGTGACAGTGCCCTACTGTAAGCATAACCAAAAGTAGCTCCCCTGGGTCAGACAGACTATCATAGATAGGGCAGATCTGACCAGCCGTCCAATGGKACTTTGACTTGAGTTGCTATAGAGTTAAATAGAGCAATTCAACTGACTCTCTCCCCACCACCTTTTTTTTTTTTTTTGGAGCCTACCCTTGTTCAGAAGCAGGACATTGTATGTAATGACACTGTGTACAAAATCTTTCCTTGGGTAATTTTTAAACATAGAAACTGGACCATGTCTTAATCTTCTGCCATCATAGAATACAAAGAAATTTATTTATTATCTCAAAATTCTGGAGACTAAGAAATCCAAGATCAAGTGGCCAACCTCTAGTGAGGGCTTTCTTGAGGCATCATCACATGGCAGAATAGAAAATGTCCAAAAGAAAAGGAGGCAGAACTCGTCCTTTTATAATGCCATTAATCCCACCCATGTGTGTGCCATCTCTGAAAGGTCCTATCACTTTTAAAATGATAATTCAATTTCCATCTGGGTTCCTTTTCAACAGAGTAGAACTCATGGGTCAACACGGGTCTACTGTGGTTTCACAAACATTCAAACCATAATAAAACACAAAAGGAAACCTTCTGGCATAAGTCCTCCTGTTGATACTAAACCTTCAGAGAGTCTATAGACACACTACTTCTTACTTTTCCTAGTATCAATTCTTCCATCTCAATGTACTATTCTTTGGCTAAAGCACAATAAATTTGCCAGCAATATCTAATGAGATTGTGTGTATATTTATTAAAACCATTTGCAAAAACTGATAGTTTCTAATAAAACAAAAAATTTATTACAACTTTAAAAATGTATTACTAAGTATATATGCAAGAAAGAAGAATGTGTAGATACCAAAACTAATTTTACAATTATGTTTATGTCATCTTTATTCTTAAGAGCTAAACACTGGAAACAATTCAAATGTACTATATTCACACAATAAATGTGCTATATTCACACAATAAATTACTATATAGCAATTTAAAAAAATAACTATTAATATACATAATAATATGAGTGAATCTCAAAAATAGTATGTTTAGAGAATGGATTTTGTAAACAGAGTTAGCCCCACATATTAACAAATGAATAGTATGCTCTTTCCCCAAATTCTTTCATTAGTTTAAAGGAATTAGGCATCACTAGCCTGATTGCTCAGAACTTGTGAACAACAGGAAATGGTTTATAGTTGCAAACTTTCTACATCTTGAGGGGCAAAACCAGCCTCTGATCTTTCATTATACCTTCTGAACTCAGCAGAACATTTGCTTTGACATCACTTGTGCTTCTAATGTCCATGTTCATTATTTGTTTCCTGTCTTGAGCCAGGTGGAGCTAATTCAGGCAAGTTATGAAGAGGGTTTATGGTCCACATGGGCTGGCAACCATAACTCATGAAGGAAGTAACATACCCAGGTGTTGGGAGCTGGYGACCGCACCCTGAAAATGGCACTGGTTTCCTGCTTCTGCTTCTTTAGCAGTTAGAGTTGTTAGAGGTAAACAACTCCTTGTAAGGCTGTGGGGCTGGGCTCTGGCCTGCTTCYGCTGCGCTGTACCTATTAGACTTTTCCACGTGGTGCTAGTTCATTGGCGGGGCTGGGTACTTAAGCTAGGGCAGACCGACCGCTCGCTCTCTTTTCCTGTTTTCTCGTCATGCTTCAAGGGTCCTGAATAAACTGCTGAAAGAAGAATCCTGTGTCRTGTTTTCCTTGCTGGCGAGGGGTCACGACTCCCAGGCCTTTCTGGAATGTGGAAAAACCTAAGCCTTATAATCTGGTTTGATATGTTTTTTTCCAACCCAGTCTCTACTCAGAAACATTGGATGGGAAAGATGAATATGCATCCCATGATTGTCCATCTGAGTTGCTCATTGATGTGACTCCCAAGTTGATCTATTTATCCATTGTTCACTACCAAAATGTGAAGAAGAGCTCAAATTATGATGATTATGATGTTGCTCAATTGCAGTTTTATTATATTTTCATTTTGTGTCTAAAAACTGAAATTCTGGACTTATTATATGTTCTTTTTAAGAGATTTATGCTTTAACTACTCATAGCAGCATCTGAATCATCTAAATGACTATGTTATTCATCATATTCAATRACTTTTCTATAGTTATTAGTATGCTCAACTATCTTTCTATATATACATACACATGCATGTGTACATATCTGTGTGTGTGTGTATATATATATATATATATTTATATATATATATATACATATACATATATATATGTAGTGAAAACCATGGATTTTTTAAATCAAAAGTTTTCTTAGACAGTTTGTCTTCAATGTTCAATTTTAAGCAGATCCCTTTCCATTTAATTCTAAGAAAAACTTTCTATTGTACCAATTTATTTTCCATTTTTAATGTGAGGAACCTGATCAWCAACATTCAGTAATGCCTTAAACTTCAAATCTATATTATGGGTTGTTCACTGAAGGGTTATTTTTGTGACTCCATTAATTAATAACTATGTTAATGTATGCCCATCAAAGGCCACAGTTACAGAAAGAAAGAAAACAATCACAATGTTGCTTAGGATTATGTGAAAATATGTGAATCTCTTCCGCTCTGTGTATATGCTTGGTCTCTTCAGCACTCAGTGGTTGCCAAGAGGTCTTTTCTTTGTTTTTCTCGGGTGCTCTTGTTTATTAACTCATACCTGCAATCAAAGAAGCAAAATAAAAACAGATGAGTGGCCATAATGGATCTGGAGGAAACAAAAAACAAGTTTTGGTTTGTACTGCAGTGAAGTTTATGCCTCTCTTACAAATGCATTGTTACTTCTSAACATCCTTTTGAGCAAGGAGCACTAAATTAGCACCATTGTTTTAAAGATGACCAATACATGACTCTGAGACCTTGTGTAATCTACCCAGTTTGCACACTTAAAAGCAGGTTTGGAATTCAAATCCAAGAGCTTTTTATTTCTAATTCTATGCTATTTTATCTTCAGCATATTATATCCACTCAATAAAGATCACCTATTCTATGAAATTAGATATGACAAAACATGAATCACTGATTCCATCTTCATGTAAAACCTGATGGAAAGCAGGGATTGCTGCAGTAACTCGGSCTACAGACAATCCTCCCCTTAGCAAACTTTAACCATTATCTTAGTATTTCCTTAAAGTGCTGCTTGGGACACCAGCTTTAGAGCGTTTTGGTAATTCTTTCTAGTTTTAATTACACAAAACCAAACTGCTTTCCAATGATGAAGTTACAACAKCCTTCTAGGGTTAGCCAAAGGACTTAAAATGTTAGAACATAGGTTGGGAAAGAAATATATGTATCTTTTATCAGAGTTCTAAWCAGAACAAGAAATAAAGTTTTCTGGAAACATGGATGATGTGAAGATGATCACATACTTGCCACTCATGGACTGCCTTCAGATGCAATGTATTTTATCTTAAGGAAAAATATGGGATACTTGCATTGGCAAGGGATAGATAAAATACGAATTTTTGCAAAGTTTGTAGCTGAATTCATATCCTGCTTACATTTGTTGCATATTCACATTTCTCACCATATATCTGGATCTGGAAGATCAAAGTTTGAGACTGGAAACTTGAAATTTTCCATTTGTGGAGCTAAGAAACAATAAACTATGTATTTTTGTGAATTCAATGTTATGAATTATTTAAGTGGTAATACCAGTATCAATCTTCACCCCCAAATGTATTGTTCATTTTGGAATGAAGTTGTTCCTGTAGACTCAGTCAAGTGTTCCCACTGACCTGTGTACAGGYTTTGCCCATGAAGTTTTATTTATCCYTGTTAAACCTTCCATTTTCTCACAYGCAGTATAGAAACAATACATTTTTTAATCAAAGATTACTTGRCATGATGCTTATGAGAGCACTTTGTAAATAGTAAAATTATGTGAAAATATTAGATAATATCTCATCTCCATATATAATAAATATAGACCTTACCTTTTCTCCATGTCCTTGATGGTTTCAATAGGTGGAAGATTAAAGGACTCTGGCAGAAAGTAGGCAAATGCTGACGMTACTAAGGGAAAGGTCCCAAAGAGGATGGCCGGAAGGTGGACAAAATACAGCCTCGTTGAAAGTACTAAAGCAGACAATGTTGCTGCTGTTCTGGCGGTGAAAAAGAGAATGCCCTGCATCCTTGACCTTCCAAAAGAGAAAACATTTTCTGGAAAAGTTTGAATCTGTGGTGCAGCCCTTTCTTCAAATTCTAGCTCATGCACACCATTTCTCCGTGCASCTTACTGAGACCACCCAGAGACAAAGTGAGGTTTCCCTGCTGTCAATGCCATGGGCTTGGTGTGCATTTACTTGGTTGTTGCTAACTGACCCTTATAAAGCACTTTTTTTTCCATTTTAGACATATCTGGTTTATTTTTTCAGCCACCTGTAAGGAATTTAAAGGTACATTTCTATGTTTTATACAGAATACAACTTATATGTGATTTGGTGATCCCTCATCTATAAAATGAAGAAAGCATGCACTAATTCAAAGGTTATGTAGTGCAAAATTGGGGTTACCTGGTAAAACACAAGATAACAAATTTGAATTTCAGAAAAGAACCACAATATTCTACTATAAGCAGGAATCAGAAAATATTTACTTACTGATGCATTCATTTGTATTCAAGAATATGGAGTCTGATATTTCAATTTCATTTGTTTCCCAGTATTCTTTCCATCTCTTTCTCTATTTCTTCCTTTCTTTTCCTCTTTCTTTCTTTCTTTCTTTCTCTTTTCCTCTTTCTTTCCTTCTTTTTTCTTTCTCTCTCTCTCTTTTTTTCTTTCTCAACTAAATCTAGCCAACCCAAATAATCTATGTGAATGTTCCTTGTAAATTTTTATATGAATCCTAGAAAGAAACATCAGGTTTCTTTTATAATATTTGACTGAGGGGGAGTTTTTTCTTATACAAATTGATCATTTTAAAGGACAATTTGTTGCAGGAAATAAGATTTTTAAAAATAAAGAAATTTTCTCAGTGATTTCAACAACTGATAGTTCAAGTTATATCAACATCTTATTTCTCTACAGAAACTGGGTAGCCATTTCACATATATTTTCTTATGATATCCACAAAAATCCCTATTCTGATATGTGTCATATTTTATGTACTTTATTTTATAAAGGTTGAAATTGAGTCTTGAAAAGATAAAGAAAATGGGAAAAGCACAGCARATCACTCAGGAGCACACATAGGTGGGTGATGAGACAATGCCTAAAGGGTACAAGGTTTCAATCACACAAGATAAATCAGTTCTACACACTTACTTTAGTAGGTATAATACCTATAGCAGAGTGCCTATACCTAAAAGCACTGCATACTTACGTCACATGTTCTTGCCAGATGTCATAATAATGATAACAAAAGGCAGGAGGAAATTTTGGGATGTGATGGATATGTTTGTGGTCTTCATGATGATCATCATTGTATGGAAGTATAGTTATCCTCAAATTCATGAAGTCAAATACATTAAATATATACAGAATTTCGTATGTTAAATCATACCAAAATAAGCTGCTTCAAAAATTAACTTTTTGAGCAAATCCAATTATTTATACTTGTTGATTTATACATATTATGTCTGTTGATTGATAGTATGTATCATGCTAGGAATTTTATGAAGTACTTTACAAGAAAGGAGAAACATGGTATGAAATAAAATCCCCTAAGATATAGAAGAACACATTTCTGCAGATGATTTTTTTTAGATGGATAGAAAAGCATGAAATGGTAATTGATAGTAAAGTGTTTTCAAATAGCATGTAGTATTTGGTAACTATAATAGAAGAGTCTTCCACGGTTAACTGAAATAGTGTGGCATTAATAGAAAAATTAATCCAAAGATTTGCTGCAAAATAAATAATTAAACAAGCAAAGTTTTAAAATACACTTTGCAAAGAAATAATCGAAATAGCTATTTTCCATGTTTTCTTTGCCATATTGTCTGAAATTCTGCTATTGCATTTTTAAAATCTTAGATTATGAAAATTATTCAAGGTTCTATATTAAAGATAGAAATAATTTGGGAAATCAGGCATGGTGGTGCATGCCTGTAATCCCAGCAGCTCAGGAGGCTGAGCAGGAGGATTAAAAATTCAAAGCCAGCCTAAGCAAAAGCCAGGTTCTAAGCAATTCAATTAGACACTTTCTCTATACAAAATTGGACAGGGGATGTGGCTTAGTGGCCAAGCACCCCTGAGTTCAATTCCCGCTTTCCCTCCCCGCCCAGAAAAGGAAATAATTTGGGATGTATTTTCCTTCAAGAATTGAGGATACGCTAGTGAGTAATACTGAGTTCTGTATTAGGSTTGGCATATAAGCATAATGGTTATGACCCTGTATGGGAAAGGCAGTCTTGAACAGGAATTTCTACTCATGAGAGACACAGGTCCATAGTTATGATTTTGTGCAATACGAGTTCCAGTATTATACTTTTGTCCATTCATTACTACACAATATTTTGTTTTTACAGATAAAAGTAACTATAGAAAGATGCACCTTTTTCTAATTTGCACAAAGATGTTCTTTGAGCCACCAAAGAGGTTATGAAATAGGCTCAGGTAGGTTATTATTCTAAGTCTGAAGAGGGTAGGGTGGGAAGACAATCATGGATTGTATTCTGGCTAGGAGTTTTGGATACATGGTAATGTGGAGAGAGTTAGGAAAATGTTGCAGAATAATTTGATCTGATAAAACATGTGCCAGGCATAGTCTGTCAACTATTCTCAAAATTCACTGAAGTAACTTTTTAAATAAATTTTATTTACTCATTTAAATCTTCTAGAAGCTTCCATTGGTATTCAACAAAAATTATCAAGATAGAATATTTGCAGTTTCTTTTCTTACCTCAGTACTGTGGCTGAGAGTTCGTTGGAAAARATTAAAAGTATGGTTGAAAGGACAGAAAGAGATGATCTTCCCAAGAGGTAAAGAGTGAGGCGCAGAACATACATCTCTGTGAACAATATTTGGGGGAAAATATTGGGTTGTATCAACATTTACTTTTTCATTCATTTGTTTTACAAATATTTCATAAGTATTTACCAGCAGGCAATTATCTGGAATCATATTTTGCTTTAAAAGACTGGGGAAAAATACTTTGGCCTTCATGTACCCTCTGACCTCTAAGCTTAAGATTTGGGCTTTTRTTGAACAAATCAGCAGGGAAACAGATAGTAAGACAGCTTAAAAAAGAGGAATTGCAAAGCGCATACTCTCTCACATTATATGCAAAAACCAACTAGACTGGATTAAAGACTTAAACCTGAAAGTGTAAAAGTGCTGGAAGAAAACATGAGGTAAAGCTTCTCATGTTAAAAAGAATAACTACTGCACAGCAAAGGAAAATTCAACAGAGTGAGAAGGTAACCTACAGAACAGAATATCATCAGATCATATAACTGAGAAGGAGGTAATTTTCAAAATACATAGGGAAATCCTAAAACTGAATTACAAAAAGTAAAAAATAAAAAGAAAGAAAGAAATTCTAAGTAACCTATTTTAAAAATGGGCAAAGGACTTCAATAGACATTTCTCTAAAGAAGATGTGCAAATGATCAACAGGTATATGCAGACATGACTAATATTCCTGTTCATGAGCAAACTGCAAATCAAAACCCCGGTGAGATATTACCTGCCTACTGATTAAGATGGCAATTCTAAAAACACAAAAGATAAGTTTTGGTGAGGATATTGAGAAAAAGGATCCTCTGTGCTCTGATGATAGGGATGTAAAATGGTACTGCAGCTATGGAAAACAATGCATAGGTTCTATAATAAAAAGAAAAATAGAATTATCACAAGATCCAATAATTTCATATCTGAGGATATATTCAAAAGAATCAAAATGAAAGCAATGAAGAGATACCTAAAGTCCCATGTCCATTGCAGCTTTATTTATAACAGCCATAATATGGAAACAGCCCAAATATCTAGATACAGATGAACAATTGAAAAAAAAATTATGGTATACAATACAATGAAATGTTATTCAGCCTTAACAACAAAAGAAAGAAATTCTTTCTTTTGAGACATTATGAATGGACTTAGAAGCACACCCTTAACTGGGTCATTTGTTCACAATGCATGCAAGAAAATCAGTAGATTCTGGTAATGTTATTTGGTAGAATAAAGGCTCAGTCCCAAAGGAGTTTATATTCAAGTAGAGGAAACAAAGAAAAGTCCAGAGGTGATGGTCTATGATAGTCAAAGGTGAGATGGTTCGAAACATGTGGAAGCACAAGAAAGACACTCAACTTAAAACTGGGCTGGGAGGAAAGCTTTCTTGAAGAAGTGACATGAAAGTGGAGACCAGATAATAAGAGGGACTTTGTAAGCTAAGGTGGAAAGACATCTGGAAGATCTTGTCTGAGAAAGAGAATTATTCACACATACCTACAGTTTTTTAAAGTGTGAACTAAAGTTTAAAAAACTAGCTACCAGRGACTATATTAAGAGAATAGTTTATAAAGCATATATTACATAGAGCATATTTATAAAGATGCTCATACAAAGAAGAGGCTGGCTAAGGAAAAGTTAAAAGGGGTACAGCAGGATGCTGAGATATTTCGGACGCCTAGGCTGCCCTGCAGAGAGGGCACTGGCAGGACTAGTTAGAAAATAATTAGAGCTGGGAGTGGTGGTGTGAAAGTTTGCTCTTCATGGATGATAGTCAATAGAGGTCAATGTATAGAAATAGCAATAAGAACAGAAATAAGACAATATACTCAGGATTTACTTAAGTTTATAAATGTGTCGTCCTTAGAACACAAATCTATATTCCCCACAGCCTTCTTAACTTTTGCCAAATTATCCCCCTTCCCACATTTTTAAAATGCAGTTTCACTAAATACCTTTGTCAGAAACATGAAAATCATTTTAACTGACTGATTTTTTTTCTCATTCTTTATTTTCAGTGAATTCCCAAGATTTGGGGATTTTTCCTCCACAATATGTCTTGACTGCATACCCTGTTTCCTATTCCTAAGGATACAGCCCTTCTTCAGTCCTTACTTGCCTCCCATATAATAAGACTAACCATGGCCTGTGACTCTAGCTTTACATTCTTTCTATAAATACACTGAAATCAGCCATATTGACATTGTCCAAAGAGAAAACTGCAGTTTTGATTGATAAAGAACTTCAGTAGCATATTATTAACTAAAGATAAGTGATATATATTCTTTTTTAAAATATATTTCTTCTTTTTTAAAACATTTTTTTAGTTGTCAATGGACCTTTATTTTGCTTATTTATATATGGTGCTGAGGATCAAAACCAGTGCCTAACACATGCTAGGCAAGTGCTCTACCACCGAGCCACAACCCCAGCCCCAAGTGATATGTTCTTGAACCAACTCATTACCTAGCTCCTACATCCTCAAAATTTATAATCTAATAATGCAATGACTAGAATGTTTCCAAAATACCTTTTGCACATATTTTCTCTTCCTGCTCTCTGYATTTCTCTACTACTACCTGTACCTGTATTCTCTTCCTGTATTACTTCATCAGGTAAATTCCTACTTTCCTGTACTGTCTAAATTTGGAAGCCATCTAAAGGGACTTTGGAACTAACAACTTRTAATTAGCACAAATTACATGATGCTGTGGGGCCAAGCACATATTGCTACTTTCAGTTTTCCCAGGCATGACTTTATTTTATCAGTAATATTTAGTGCCTGGTAAAGCTGGTGTAATAGCTCCTGTTCAAGGAAACCATAAAGATGGACCTCTATTTATTAAGCAATATATGACCCTCAAAGCACCTAGATTTTGAAACTAGACTGCAGTGTTCTTCTTGGCAGAAGTCGAGTGTGAATTCTGTCTTTTATTTGGCCTTGTTTAAAAACTTGCATTTCTAATGAGATTCTAAACACAGAAAAGTCTCACCTTTAGGCACAAATATAGGGATCAGAATAGAAACTCCAAGAATAATGAGTGAAAAGCCGCTTGAAGGGCGACGGTTGATATACTTTAATATAAAATAGGAAAGACATTTGCTAGGCAAGTCTGTTATTCCTAGTAGAAACTGGGTCAGGAATATGTTTTTCCCCAAATTCTCAATATCCAGCAGGAGACCATAGAAGCTGAATGTTACTGAAAACCTGTGAGAGAAAGCAGAAAGGTATTCAATATACTCAGAAATAAACATCCTTGTGTGTGTGTGTGTGTGTCTGTGTGTCTGTGTGTATACAAGCACATGTGTGTTTGAAATCTGTATTTCCTTCACACATGATTAAAATCAAAATATTTCAAGTATGCAATGAAATGGAAAGATTTATAAAGTCTCAGTGAATTGAGCTAGGGGTTAAATAACTCAATTTATCAAAAACAAAATGCATTTGGTCTAAGATCTGGATAGGAGTATTCCAAGATCCAAAATGAAAGCTGAAAATAATTTAGTCACAAAGAGAAAGAAAAGATGATTTATTTCATAATTTCATAGAAGATCATTGTGTTCATCTAGATTTTTACATCTCTTAAAAAATAATGTTGACTTACAATATCTTTGTAATTTGAAAAGAACTAACATGACAAAAAAATCAATTTTCTGTAATTAGGAAGAAAATATTAGTAACTTTTTATTTGAAATTATAGTTAAATTGCAGTAAATTAAATTCCATGCATATATGTCAAAATGAACCCAACTATTAATGTATAATTTATCAAGAAGAGCAAAAAATGTCAAATCACTACAGTTTATTAAATCAGTAGAGTAAAATAATAGACATAAGCAATATGTCATAGATACATGAATATCTACATAAATTTATGCTTCATACTAAATTTATATTCTATAAGAATATGAATTTTATGATCATAATATTTTCAGAGTTTGATTTTCTAAATCCATTTATACAGTTTTCCTAGGTAAGAAATAGATTCATTATTTGAGTCTTAACACATTGACTTGTACCTAGTATGCATCCATACATCTAAATGAACAACCAAGAAAATGAGAGAGGAGTTATTTCCCAGAACATGAGGACAAAAAGATAATTTTTAAAAATCTCTGTTGTAATTTTTTTTAATCTAATATATACTTTTTGTCAATTCTTAAAATACCTACTACAAAGATAAGATGTAACTCTCTCTCCAATTGCCTGTAGTTTTTAGGAGACCATAATTATTTTTAAAGAGTACTAGAAAATGATGGTAAATTGTTTTAAAAGTTTAGAATAATTTTAACATTTCAGTTTATATTTTTAATAATATCATGTTGATCCAGGCCATTCTGACCTGTTTACTTTATTCAGATACTAGAAGATCTCAAATAGCCACACAGGGGTATTTGTCCATACTTATTTATATGTTTATAATAAGTGTTGGAAAACACATAGCCCTTTTTAGTGATGGTCCCCATATTTTAAGTCATGGTCCCCATATTTTAGTGGTGGTCCCCATATTTTAGTGATGGTCCCCATATTTTAATCTGTGAGCTGACAGATTCAGCATAAGTGTTCACAATAACAGTCAATGTGTCTTTGGGGAAGACATGTAACTTCTCTTGCTCTCATTTTGCTCATCTTCAGATTTGGGCTAATCATACATATCCAATGATCAAGCTATCAATTTTATCCTTTATCGATTTTTATAAAATGCATCAATCACTTCCAGTGCATCACTTTATCCAGGTTTTCTCATGTAACTATACAATGTATTTTTTTTAAAGTGTACATTTAAAACAATTGAAAACCAATCGGGATAGGATTCCAGATCAGCCTTTGACAAAACTTGATATGGAATTTGTATCTATATAATTCAAAATATTATGTTATTAACCTTAGGACTATGGTGCTTTGTAGTAAAATAAGATGGATCAATTCATCTGAAAACCAGCTTTCTCTTTCCTCTCATTTAATAGAACTTTGTTGGGGTCTCATTTGCCTTTTCATTTTGATTTTTCTATTTCTCCAGTTTCTATAAATCGTAACTATTCCATAGGCCCAWTTCCAAAACTTGACATCATATAGGTTTCTTTATCATTTCCTAATCCTCTTTGCATTTTTTTCTGTTATTTTGATTAAAAGGGTGGAGGATTTGCACCCTTAAAGCAGGCATTCCCCAAATTGCTCAGCATGATCCTCAAACTGTGAATGTGTGTTCAAAGATGAAAAAGCAAACCACTTACCCTAAAATGGACAAAAAAAGCACTGTCTTGAATACTGCAGGTTTACACATGATCTCTTTCATTGTGAAAGATTCTCTCTTGGTATTCAATTCTTCCTTCATTTTGGATATCAAAATCTTCACACACACACACACACACACACACACACACACACACACACACACACAAGCAAGATATTTAGAGTCAGGAAAAAGGTCTTTTATTTCCAAAATTGCTCCCTGGAGCTGCCAACACTCTATTGTGGAATCAAAGAAACAATGATTATCTTATAAAACCACATTGGCATGCATGAAATTTAAAGCAGCTAACAATCGATAAGGTGATTTAAATCACTGGAAAAAAACAATATTTAAATGAACATTTAAAATCATATCACTTATATATTTATAAAACTTCTCTCCAAGTGATACAAAATGTTGTRGAAAACCTTTTCTGAAGGGTCTAACAATTGTGAGATTATTTATTGCTTGTTAGGATCATTGATGTACCCTTTTGAAAGAGCTCTAATTAGCTAAATCATGTTCACAACTGAACCACAATTATCATAAAACCACCACTAAATTCTCGTTAAGAAAATCCCATTACATTAATTACATAAAGTCATTTGTAGTCCCATGGTGGTGAATCTCCTCCCTGGTGAAATACTTGAAGCATTTCAATTAACTTTCTTTATTGTATTACTGGAGATTTTGATATATTTTAGATTTGATAATTATTTGTACAATAATTTGATTTTATATATTCAAGAAATATATAGCAATAGACCAGTTTTATAGATTCAAACTATGTAAACATTTTTAGTTAAGTAATTATATGTATCCCTTTTAAAATTTAAAACATTACAGTGTAATCAAAAACTGGGATATTCATATCTAGCTTTGTATCTACTCTCCCTGTGGTCTCAGCCATCATCTCTCAAGAATATTTCAAGTCTTATATGCCCAATACATCATATTGGATCAGTTTCCCATTCAAATGTTATACATTGTATTTACCCCCAGGAACCTATTAATCCTCTTGGTGTTTTTTTTTTCCTAAACGGGGAGAATAATTATAATTGATCAGCCATTCACATAAATTTATCAAGAGAATCAAAACTCATTAGATGCATATAAGAGCCTAACTTATTGCAGACAGGAGAGTAGACAACACTAAAAAAAACAAAACACCCATGATGTGCTTTATTGGATTAGACTTTTCCATCTAGAAAATATTGTTGATAGCTATAAACTGTAAATAATTAAAATACTGTTTTTGGAATCAATTTGCTGAGATTTCATTCAATATCTTTTAAAGGGACCTAAATCACTTAAAGTACATGAGAGACCTGGATAATTCAAATATTAATTCCTCTTGAAGATATCAAAAAAAACAGCAATTTTAATATGTTTTAGAGCAACCCATGAGCAGGGAATGTCCTGTCAGAGAATGATAAGAATAGATGTTATTACAGAGAATCAGAAAGAAAGAATATGGATACAACTGTGACTCTTCATTTACTTCAATACCTAGTATGATGAATACTTGTGAAATACCTGTGCACCTGCCTCTGGTCAATTCTTTTTAAATTCCCAGTATAATATCAAAATAATTGTGCAAATCCACAAAAACTGGGTATACACAAAGGGTAGTTGTAATAATAATAATTGAATTCAAGTCTGTCCTGACTTCTGTCATTTCTTGGCTATCTATACCAATAATATTACTCATTTTTTTCATCTGTTGATGATAGAGAGAAGTGTATTGAAAGAAGTTGTTCCCAGGTTTCCCTTACCTCAGAAGTCAGACTTTCTGCCACCTCTTTCTTTCCATTAATACGAGCAATTCTCTGGAGCTCTTTTAATGCTTGTTCTGTTTTTCCGGTTGCCATGAGCCAGCGGACTGACTCTGAGATCCCACTGTTTAAAAGGAGACAGGTGGAATTTCTGCAGGGTGATGTCACATTCCAGTCCACTTGTCCATTCATGGACAGTGCTAATCTTTCCAGAACATTGTTTAGAAAGGGTTAACTGTGGGGTTAATCAACTCCCTACCTACACTTCAACCCTGTTTCCAGCCACTCTCTACTGCCACATTTTTGTTTGGTTGGTTGGTTGGTTTATGAGTAAGCTGTAAAGATTCCCTGATTCAAAATATAAATGTTCTTTCCTTTCTCTGTTTTACATTTTTACTTCAGAAATTACTGCCCCTTCCATGTGTGACTCTGAGTTTCTCAATTTTTAAGTGTGAACCTTCTGAAGTTCTTAGAAGTTTGAATATTATCAAAATTTTATATAATCATATACTAATTGATCTCTAGTATTTTATCTCTGAGAAGATTAATTAAAATTTATGAACACCAAAATAAGTGCTTGGGAAACAAAAGACTATGTTATTTCTCCCCTAAACATAAACCAGAAAAGGATCTGTCTTCCCACCCTGCCACAGTCTCTCATGTAGCCATGTTTTGCTGTGGGCTGATCTGGGAAGGATCTCAGCAACCAAGCAAAAACAGGATAGAGGAAGCAAAAATTTTAAGCCACAAGCTCACCTAATTTTATTATAAATTTACTAAAGGGTTCATTCTTTTATAATTGAGTTTTCTCTTTTAATTTTAAATAGTTTTTTTTTTGGGGGGGGGGTATTACACCTAAAAATGGCCCTGAGAGCAATGAATGGCAATATATTTCTCAGTAGAGATAAACTTGTATGTGTCGTAATCACTTAAGCAAATGGCTCTGTATTTACCAAAGTTCACGTACCAGGAAAAGAGAGAAAGAATGAGATAGGGCAAGGCAATGACCAACTGGAGCATGTGCCAATCCCGGAAAAGGTAAGCCACGCCTGCAAATGATGCCTGGCCAATACTCCCAGATAAGGAGAAAAGCATGGTAGCCACTAGTTGCCATTTTGATGAGTTTCCTTCAAAAACTAAAGGAAAGAAAAAGCAAAAGAAGATATCTAAAACCATTTGGGAAAGATGGCTGAAAAACTGTCATAGCATATGTGCACAAATCAAGACAAACTTACGAAATACGCAAGTGCTGTTTAGAACTGCACTCAGGCAGACAGACGACATGAATCTCAGAATACAGTAAATGGTGAAGACCGGAGAGAAGGCACAGCAGGTGCTCAGGATTCCGTAGGCCAGGCAACAAGAGACCATCAGTGGCTTCCGTCCAAACCTAGAGTAGCAGTAGATAGTGAAGAATCTAGCAAGTGGTGACATGTCGTCAGGGCATTCCTAAAGAATGTCCAAAACTGAGTTTCTAGTTTTCTAAGTAACTACAACCATAGTGTCACCCCCATAATGGTCACTCTAGAAATGACCAGTAAACTGAGATTTGTTTTTTACTTAAATGTTAGAGTCAAGTCACTAATTGCATGCCATTAATACAATAGAATTTACACAATAATGTATTAAAATAATTGTGCAAATCCGCAAATACTGGGTATACACAAAGGGTAGTAGTAATAATAATGATTGAATTCAAGTCTGTCTTGACTTCTATCATTTCTTGGCTATGTATACCAATAATTTTACTCATTTTTTTCAACTATTGATGAAAGAGAGAAGTGTATTACTTAAATATTAGAGTCAAGTCACTAATTGCATGCCATTAATACAGCAGAGTTTACACAATACATTTACCAAAATAATTAGAGTGATTTTTTTTAAGACAAAAAAAGGTGCCATGCTCAGTGGTTCACATCTGTAATCTCAGCAGCTCCAGATGCTGAAGCAGGAGGATCGTAAATTCAAAGCCAGCCTTAGCAAAAGTGAGGCACTGAGCAATTAAGTGAGACCCTGTCTCTAAATAAAATACAAAATAGGGCTGGGAATATGGCTCAGTGGCCAAGACCCCCGAGTTCAATCCCCAGCACACAAATCCGCCCCCCCAAAAAAGACAGAAAAGGTGTAAAGGTGCAAATGATACCATATGACTGACATTCTGTTCTACTCACTGTTATAGAATGWGCACTGGATTTAAAATATCAATCCACATTGATCTATGCCTAAAMAGCTTTAGTTCTATGAGTGTCTTCGTAAGCTGTCTAGATGCTACCTTTCAAACATGCTTTACATATATTTTTAAAACAAGGCACGCAATTTCAGGTAACTATCTTTTCTAGTTCTTTGCTCAAAAATCAGCAAAGCAACTTTGGGAGAAAAGACTGTTTAGTACTCTTTAAAAAATAATGATTGTTTCCAAAGTATGACTCACAAAGGAATTTAATAAATTGTGATAAAAAGGTCACAGAATAAAAACTTTATTATGATTTTCTTTGTGCATATGGTGGCAGAAATTAAATCCAAGATCCAGTGCGTGCTAGGCCAGCATTCTACCACTGAGCTACATCCCCAGCCCTACAATAAAAATTTATTTTAAATTTTTATCCCTTAGTGAGATAACATTTTACTATATCTGTCCATAGAGCAGCAGAACACTTTACCACACAGGCAAGTCAATCTTTTCAGTTATGATCTCTTCTCATCTCAATCCCCCAAAGTAAATTTACCCTGTTCTCTTCATAATTGATAAAAGCAAGAGTGATATATTTTCTTTGGAGAACTGTAAGTGCAATCTCCACTGTAAGTTCTTCAGAAGTGCTACCCGTGTAACTCATGGAAAGGATAAGAAAGCTAATATTTAGAATTTATCATTCCCATTTTATAGACAAGAGTGATAAATATCAGAAGTATATGAAAACAGGGCTTCTTTCATGCTTTACAGTAAATTCTAGTTCTTTTGAATTTATATTACAACACTTACCTCAATGTTCACTTGATAGTTTATAGATCATATATTTTATCCACCTTGTTTATAGTATCAGTATATGTGAAGGTTGTCATTGATTTGCATATTTGTTTATTTCAGATATACTAGAACTCAGATTAGATAATTTGTCCATTTCTGGGCCTGTTTCCATCAAAGTAAGTACCCTCCAAGTTTTAATGCCTCTCTATATTCTAATTCTCACCTTTGATAGATATTTTTGAGAATTAACTGGATTATTTTCTTCCTTATTAAGATTAATATTCTTAATCTTTTGTTTTAAATCTCCCTTATTATTAATCTGGATCCCTCTCTTATCCTTTTCTCTCTAGTCTGTTTCTAGAAATTTTATCCATGGTTTTCTGACCAATCATCAAAGTAGTAAAATTTTTCCTTCTTTTCATAAAATTTATTAAAGTCTACCCACAAATGAATCTCCCTATATCACTACATTAAGAAACTACATATATTAAAAAATACAACATGCATGCAATCAGTGTTTTGAGTTATCAAATGTTTCTGGTTGTCCTCACTTCCAAATTAAAGGAGAAAACAAAGATTCAGTGCTCACAAAAAAACTTAGCTTCTTAACTTTATCTCTCAAGGTTACCTTTTTCAAGCTTTATTTGTCAATCATACTTGTTATTCTACATTTCTTAAACATTTTTGCCTCCCTGTTTTTGTTTGTTTGCACCTACCTCCATCCTGGGAACTTTCGATTCTTTATGGACAGTTCAAGCTCCATTCCTATTGGCCTGTGCCAGGGACTTCAGTCTTTCAACATTTTATATTTCCTTGAGACATATCCATCTATCATTTGGTTTCCATTTTTTGCATACTTAGATTATTTTAATGTATATAATTATTAATAGAAATATGCACAGAGTCTTTTCAAATGCATATTTGGGTTTTCAAAATGAACCTTATTCAGAAGAGAAATCTCACCTGTCAGAAATGAGGCCACATAGAGCAGAGCCCACCAAGTGCCCTGACAGGGCGATGGCTTGTGCAAAGTATTTGAATGACTTATAATCACACACCAAGTCCCACTGGAAAAGATTGAATAGAAAATGGTATCCGTAAATAATTAAAAATGGCAGTCAAGAGGATGGCATAAATATAACTCTGAGTAAATTGGTTGGTGTTTTTTTTTGAAAAATTATAAAAATTACTTTAATATCGACAATAGCTATATTCTAAACTGTAGACTAGAATCTGGAACCTATAATTGCTCAATACTGTAGACAATACTTGTATTACAATAAAGTTTAAAATCTTGATGGCAAAAGAGGAATGTAATATGTACATGAGAAGTGTATCAATATAACAATTTTCAATGAAAGCTAAGTTCATGATCCTTTTAAATCATAATACAAGTTAGCTTTCCCTCACCATCTAGAAAGTAGCAACAGTTTTCTCCTTTGAATTCTTAGCTATTGGATTTAAGTTTAGTATTTTGACTACAGGACAAAAGCCRTATTTAATATAAAATTATTTTTATTTGTATGACCAGGAAGAAAATGAGTTTTCTTTCTAGCAGAATGCATAGTCAGGTTAAGGTTATAAAGAGAAGATGATTCAAGTGTGATTTTTCTACTTTGCACAATTAGAAACCAACCAACCAACCAACTAATGAGCTGGAGGGCAAGGGAAATAGAAAGATGAATGGGGAAGAGCACAAGAGAAGAAGAAAGTTTAGACCAACTGCATTTCCAACAAGTCTTCTACAATCTCTTCCATGTATCCATTCATCCATCCAACTTTTTCCACGCTCAGTGGAGGATGCAATAGAGGCCTATGACAACAACTTCAGAGGAGTACATCTCACAGGAGACATAAAGTTTCTTTAAAAACTCTTTTACAGATGATGCATGCTGGGGCATTGTATTATAGCAGGACAGGTATTGATCAGTTCAGAAAAGCTTTTGTGACTGTAATGATATCCTAGAGCAACAAGAAGAATCTATAAAAGTTATATGGAATATGCATAAATATGATACATTGACGGAGAAGTCAAGGGAATCAAAAATCTTCAAGGATAGAAAAAAATGGAATGAAATCAAATAAAAGATGTCTTCAAAACTAGTATGTTGTAGTGACAGTGTAGGTGTCTCCAGTGATGCAACCATGTGGGTTGATACACCTTGCTCAAAAAAGAGCAAGAATCGGAAGCACCCACAATGTGGACAGTGGTATAGCTTTGCACACTCTCCATCTCTAAGGTCTTGGTGTTGCACAGGACTCCTTGAACCAATTTGTCTTATGAGTGAAATAAAAGAAAAGCTTAAAAAGATGAATTTATGTTATTCACTCAGAACATACCAATAAGAAGGAAAAATAAAAACAAACAAAAAAAGAGGCGATTATGTCATAGAATATTACAGATCCTATGCTTAAAAATGGAAACTCAAAGCTAGGCAAACTGAGTAAAATAATAGTAATTTCCAGATGCTACAACTTAATTGAACATACCGTGAAAATTCTACAATGACACAAAATGTGGTAACTGCTAGAAAAGAATGTGTAGCACAAAAAAGGATTTGTCAGAGACCAACAGATGTCCCTAAGAAGGAAAAATCTTTAAACAGAGACCTGAGTTAGGCATACATGGAGCTAAATTGAGAGGGCTTTTTAGAGGAGGATACATGCCAAATAGATATAAAGTTGTAAGGAAAGACCACAACATTGGTGGTGAAGTTGTATAGTAGGCAATAAAGTCTCCTGTAAGCAAAAGGCAGTATAATAAGGAGTGGAAGTTACATAAAATTAGAATATAATAAGAGGCCATAAGATGAAGGATCTTGAAGCAAAGTTACATGGAATGCTCCATTGGGTAGAAGGACCCGTTAGTCTGTTGATACTTAAAACAGTACATTGCTGGGGGGACTGCAAATTGGTGTGGCCAATTTTGAAAGCAGTATGGAGATTTCTTGGAAAGCTGGGAATGGAACCACCATTTGACCCAGCTATTCCTCTTCTCGGTCTATTCCCTAAAGACCTAAAAAGAGCATACTACAGGGACACTGCTACATCGATGTTCATAGCAGCACAATTCACAATAGCTAGACTGTGGAAGCAACCTAGATGCCCTTCAATAGACAAATGGATAAAAAAAATGTGGCATTTATACACAATGGAGTATTACTCTGCATTAAAAAATGACAAAATCATAGAATTTGCAGGGAAATGGATGGCATTAGAGCAGATTATGCTAAGTGAAGCTAGCCAATCCCTAAGAAACAAATGCCAAATGTCTTCTTTGATTTAAGGAGAGTAACTAAGAACAGAGTAGGGAGGAAGAGCATGAGAAGAAGATTAACATTAAACAGGGATGAGAGGTGGGAGGGAAAGGGAGAGAGAARGGAAATTKCATGGAAATGGAAGGAGACCCTCAGGGKTATACAAAATTACATATAAGAGGAAGTGAGGGGAAAGGGAAAAAAATACAAGGGGGAGAAATGAATTACAGTAGAGGGGGTAGAGAGAGAAGAGAAGAGGGGAGGGGAGGGGGGATAGTAGAAGATAGGAAAGGCAGCAGAATACAACAGACACTAGTATGGCAATATGTAAATCAATGGATGTGTAACCCATGTGATTCTGCAATCTGTATACGGGGTAAAAATGGGAGTTCATAACCCACTTGAATCAAAATGTGAAATATGATATATCAAGAACTATGTAATGTTTTGAACAACCAACAATAAAAATTAAAAAAAAACAGTGCAAAAGTCCTGTCACATTGGAATACTTAATGTTTCTTAAGTTAATCAATAATATCCCAAGGTTAAACCAGGATCTTCAGGCCTTCATTAAATGCAAACTCATACCTTATGAGAGTGAATAAACCTAAGCACAGAACAGAGATAGAGAAAGTACTGGAACCACAGTCCCCTGGTTCACTCTGTAACCTTGGATAACTGACCTTTCTCAACAGTTCATCTCTTCACTCTTTACAGAATAAATTGCTTACAGGAGTTATATTGAAACATTATTTGTTCATTTTCTACTGAAATATTAAACTAATTATGGGAAACAACATCAAGCTAAATTTTTGAAGTGAATATAATATTACATAAAAATATAAAGCTAACATAGAATATGTTGATGGATGAATACCAAACCTGCAGTTATTCTATCCATGATAATTGTCTACCAGAATATCACATTTTTAAGCTTTCTATAAATCAATGCAAAACTTTTATTAAAAAAACATATTAACATAAAGAAGAAGATGGTTTTATTTTAAAATTGTTACTTAAAAACATAATGGGAGTAAACATTTTAATAGAATATGTCAAATATATGGCTATCCTACTAATTGATAGTTTCAAAGTGTATAAAATATACAAGATTGTTTAAGTTAAGACTTGAGACTTATCCTTAATTCAGCATCTCAATATCTAAAAGGAGAAGCCAGACCAAGAATAGTAGATGACCATGAAAACCAGATGAACAAAGCACAAATATCTGAAGTTTGTATTCCTGATTTTCATTAAGTTCCCCAGTCATACAGAGTACTATTCTTCTGATAAAATGGGTTATGAATTCAGTACATTTCCTTTAATTGCAAAGTACCTAACTAAACATTTCTACTCAACTCATTAGGAACTTCCCATTTTTCTGAGTTAACATTTAATAATAATTGAGTTCACACTAGAAGGACCTTGCTATGTAGGTGAAATAAGCCAAGGCTTGAAGTGATCCAGAAATGAATGGTTTCCTTATGTATCATTAATCAGGCATGTGATGATAGCAGAGGAACACAGCCTCTCTTAAAGTATTTTCTCTCATTTCTGCTTTCATTGAAGAGGGCTTTGGTTATACTTTGCATATAATGTACAGTATTTGTCATGTTTCAGACGCCTATTTCAAATATATAAAACAACAATTTAGAACACTAAGATTTAAATTTGTTGAAGTTGTCTATTCACCAGATTTCAAATATTTGGGGAGAGGAGCAGGGTACCAGAGATTGAACTCAGGGGCACTCAACCAGCCCTATTTTATATTTTATTTAGAGACAAGATCTCACTGAGTTGCTTTGCACCTCACTTTTGAACTTCGGATCCTCCTGCCTCAGCCTCCGGATGGAGCTGGCAGGGTTATAGGTGTGTGCTACCATGCCCGGCTTCAAGTATTTTATACATATTGTTCCTATCATCCTTCCTAGTGTGAAATAGTCAACACATTATGTAGAAAACTGTGTTTTAATAATTTCTCTAAAAAAATAAAATAAAAAATAAGCAGTAAAATCATCTTCTATTAAATATGAGTAAAATAAGACAGAAATCAGCTGTATGTGACAGATTTCAGATTTTTACCTAGACCTTCTGAGTTCTGAGATTCACTCTTTTAAATATACGAAAATGGTGGTCCAAGTTGCTTTTAGAAATATAAAAATGGATATCAATAAGGCATATATCAAAGGCATAACACTACTGCGCTTGACTTTGAAACCACATCCGTCTGGGGAAAATACACATGTGTATATGAACATGCACATGCACATGCGCACATGCACACCCCTTTGTGTAAGCTTCTCATCCCCTTTCCTATCTTTGGATAATTTATGCAAATTGAAAACTGTCATTCCTCCACACTCAATTCACTCCCTATCACCCACTATTAATGTATTACCTCCGTAACGATGGTAGAGGTGAAAACACTTTGGTCATATATCCACCCATCCAGGCATGGCTCTGTCTCAGGATCAGTATAATTGACAGCTGACACATTGGGATCTAAGAGTTGCCACTGGGTCTGGCGAAAGCGATGACATTGCTCAGGCTTCTGGTTTGGGCCCACAGGGACGGAGACCCTCAGAAGAGCTTCAGCTGTCAGGTTTATGGTGACATTGGCTTCAAATTTGGGATTGCCAAGGAGGTGGAATTGGCAGTGGTGATCGGGCATGGCTGCTGTAAAGTTCTCAATGTAATCATGAGGACTTGTCAGGATACTTGAAAGCATGAAAAAGATAATTGTCAAAACCTGAAACTTCCCATTGTCGCCTACATGTTGTAGAAGTTCCTCAAAGGCCATGTTTTAAACCTGTATTAGCTGAAGAATAATAGATTTTTCAGGTTAGAAATGATAGTTTTAAAAAATCTTGAGTTAAATGATTAAGAGAATGTTTTCCTAAATTAGAAAATCAAAGCATTCAGAAATTAATTTTCAAACAACAAGATTATTTTCCCTATCTCCTTAAAAAAAACTTCATAAACAAGGTGTACTATTTTCACTGCACTGAGAACAACATGTTCTATTTCATAATGACAGAGATTCCAAAGAAGAAATTCCCCTAAGTGGGCAATTCCATTGAATTTATACCACTTTTAGAATTTATAGTTAACATACAATACAATGAATTGAATTCTGCACAGCTCTCAGGACACAAAGATATTAATTGGCAAAGATCGTACAAATTCAGGGTACACAATGTAATGATTGCATAACAACTATCATGGCCAAATTAATTAACACATCCATCAGCATATAATGCCTAGTCTCAAATTCCCAGAATTTGTTCACCATAAAACTGCATTTGTATCCTTTAACCAATATCTTCCCATTTACCCACCACACCCCAGCACTTGGTGAACTCTATTCTCCATTTTGGTTCAATAAGTTCAACATTTTTAGTTTGTTATGGTTTAGGTATGTGGTATCCCTAAAAAGCTCATGTGGGAGGCAACACAAGAACATTCACAGGTGGGATGATTGGGTTATAAAAATCTTAACCCAATTAGTGAATTAATCCTTTGGTAGAGATTAATTGAGTGATAACTGATGACAGGTAGGGCGTGGCTGGAGGAAGTTATTGGGGGCATGCTTTGGGGGTATATATTTTGTATCTATATCTGAAATCTCTTTCTGCTGTTTATTACCAGGTGAGCTGTTTCCATCCACCACACTCTTTTGCCATGATGATCTGCCTTACCTCAAGCCCCAAAGAATGCAGCTGGCTGTCCAACAACTGAAACCTCTGAAACCGTGTGCCCCCAAATAAACTTTTCCTCTTCTAAGGTCTCTTAGTCACAACAGTAAAAAAGCTGACTAAAACAGTTTGCAAATATAAGTCACATCATACAGTACTTACCTTTCCATGTCTGGTTTATTTCACATAGAACAATGTCCCTTAGTTTCATTTGAATTATCAAATACAATAATAATATTAAATTATTGTATTTGTATTGTATTGAAGAATAATACTTGTGTATGTGTGTGTGTATGTGTGTGTATCATATTCTTTATTTATACATACAGGTATATTTTAGAATATTTAATATTGCCAATCATCAGAGAAATTAAAATGAAAACTATGTGGTATATCACTTCACACCTCTTACGGTGGTTATTGATAAAAAGACAAAAGTATTGGTGAAGAGCCCTCAAACGCTGTTGACAGGCATTCAAAGTACTGTAGTTACTAAAAAAAAAAAATAATATGGAGTTTCCTCAAAAGGGTACAGATGGAACCACCATACAATCCAGCAGTCCCACTCCTGAGAATAAATCCAAAGGAAATGAAATAGCAAGTCAAAGAGACACCTGTTCTCCCATGTTCATTGCAGAATGAGTCAAAATAGTCAAGATATGGAACTACTAAGCAGGAAATACTACTCAGGAAATAATTTTGGTGAAAAATGTTTACTCTTGCCTGCTCTGGCACAAATGATAAGCAAATACCTATGACAGAAAGTCATATTTTGCAAACAAAAACACACGTACATGCTCTGATTTGATGTCTGAAACAAAAGTGTTCCCTGAAGAGTGAGAGCCAATTTAGTTCACCTGTTCAGGGGAGTTATCTTTGTAAACCTTTGTTGCAGAGTTGCAGAGGGTAGACTGGTGATGAGGTAGGAGGACAGGACTCTCATGAAGAAGTCATCAGGTTTGAAGCTACTCGGCTGAGAGAAGCCTAACAGTACTGCCAAGGGCCACCTTTAACAGGATCGTGGCTGAGAAGAACCTTGAAAATCATGTACTGGGACTAATGGGATAGTCCTAAAAGGCTGTCAAGGAGTAAAACAGATGATCTTAAAATATGCATATTTCTCTCTTCTGTACCATATGAATATATGCAGACTACTGAGGTAGCTGAAACTTCTAAGTATTTGAGATGACTGATATGTTAATCACATTGATTTAATTATTCCATATTATATTCATAAATTATGTTTGTTCCCCATGAATACATACATTTATAATTTGCTGTGTTACAATTTTAAAAATAAATTTAAAAAATCCAGATATGCAAAAAAAAAGACATTGACATTCAACCAGAATGTGGTCAAACAGCCTGAAAGCTAACAATGTGAGGTACTTAAACCAGTGTTTTCATATTCCCATTAACTACTTCTTATTAAATACCAGGGACCCAAGAGTCACTTCCAACCTCCTCCTATATTTCTCTATATTAAACTCTWCTTTTTGCTTTGAGGACTCGACTCAATATTCTCATGGTAACCATCAACCCTTATGCTGGTATGATAAGAGAGAAGAAGGTGCCTACCTGCATGTGGTCTCTGTTGAACACAGAAGCACACAGAGAAAGATCCTAAATCTGAGCTGAAGAATAAATGTCCAGTACAAGTTATGAGAAGTTAATACTTTACCTCTTGCCTTGGAGTACATTCACAGAAAAGTTCAAATCGCTGAAACTGAGTTTCATTTCACTGGGCTAGTTATTATTATCTGCTTGAAGCTAACACTAAGGAATGGGAAATAGAACAAACTCAAGTGCTTCCTCSCTCATTTTCTGTGTTTCTATGTACACAGAGTTCATACCGTAAACTTGTCTGTCATCCCTGCTGCCGTCACCCAGGCTTCATCAACTGTACCTAAAAACGCTAAAATTTTTAATAGAACATTTGTCCAACATAAGGAAGCTTTAGAAAAGTTGGCATTCGGTTACCACTCAACCAGAAATTATATAATCACACAATTATACTGAAAAAAATGTTTGTTTAATTGATTTAATGTTAGATCAATATTCAAGTTGGAAAAAAGTTAACATTTTCATTCTGTGAACATTAGGAAAAAGTAGGGTATCATACTCCAGCCAGGTAGCTCAGGCATGAACTCGTGACCATGGAGATGAGTAGGGAGAGCAGCAGCAGAAGTAAACAAGAATTTTCCCCATCTGGGTACGTATTACATTACTAACATTCTGTTGACCAGAGTGTCACGGTGAGGCTCAAAAGCAAGGATATAATCTGTGCATCTTCAGTAAGACAAATGAAAAAGTTACAGAGCAAACAATATACAGACAGGTGATGCATTTAATCCATTCAAATAATCAATTTAACACTAATTTATTAAATGTAAATAAAATTCTGTTATCTTTTCTTCTAAATTTAACTTTAGCTTATAAATCTTCACTTCCATTTAAATGATTTAACCCCATGTTTAGTCATTTTAAATATTAATGGAATATTGTGAGGGATTTCTCTTCTCCCAAAGAAGTGATGAATTTAGTGGATTTACTGGTGGATTTAGTGGTTTCAACTAGCTCTAGTAGTTAGTTTTACACTGCTATAATAAAACACCTGGTTAGATTTTTTTTTTTAAAAAAAAGGTTTATTTAGCTTATAGTTCTGCAGGTTTAAGGGCATGGTACTGGCATTGGCTCAGCTCTGGTAAAGATCCCAGAGCAGATGACATCACAAACATCACAATGGCAAAAGGGTGTGCAGAAGCAAGAGATCTTATTGCCAGACAAGAGAGCAATTCAATAGTAAGGTCATACTTATAACTTGTTCCCATGAAGACTAACTCAGAGTCCCATGAGGATTTCCTTCACATCCTTTCCAAGAATGTGTTACCATTGAAATAAGAACCTCCCACTAATCTTCACCTCTTAAAGGTACCTGCATCTCTTACATCATTATCTCACCAGATGCCCAGACCAGAGGCAAATCTGACACTGCAGAGTCCCAACAAACCAGTCCAGTACACGTATCCCCCCCCCCAAAAAAAACCAAAAAAACAAATGGAAAGAGTAATGATACAAGGCAGAATATATTCAATATAGTTATATTGGGAAGACAAGGAGGATCCAGTGTCCTTGGACCTGTCTTCAGGGCACTGATATAGCTGTTGGGTTAAAGAGAATTGGACACAGGTCAAGAGGAATGCATAATTCAGCAAAGTTGGTCAAACTGTGGTCTGGTTGATCTTTAACTCATTTCTGGTTCTTAAATATATCTTCAGAGAAGTCTAATTGATTGTGGAGACAATTCAATTCCCATGAAATGATTTATTCTATTTGTGGGGCGAAGCCTCATCATGAGTCTATTTGCAAGGATTCTTTCTTCCTGAAAGATTTTTATCAATGGCTAGAGAATTCCAGGTAACACTGTAGGCTCTGGAACAAGATGTTTGAAAAGCTGGCAGTTGAAAATCTGTCAATTATTATACCCTTGAATATCTTGAAAATACCTTAGCTACTCCTATCTTGGCATCTTTGGCCTTRAAGGGGGAAAATTACAAGCTTTCAGTGGATGCTTCCTAAACTCATTTTCTCCCATTGTCCATATGTGAAACACCTATAAAAACCTACATTAAGAAATAAATAGACAAATTATGGTGACTTTGAAGCAATAGTTGGATATTTATTGTGTTTTCAAAACTGAAATGTTGGGACTTAATACACTAAACGATTAACATTAAACACTAAATGATTAACTAAATGATTAACACGCAAACTTGAACAGGAATCTGACCCAAGGATTCAGGTCATAAGGGAGACAGATACAAAATGAAGGCAGACATGCCAAGTTTTCTGTCTGCTTTTAGTTAGTTGTTACAGCTGTTAGGGTGCCTTGTGTTTCTCATCTCTGTGTTCTCACCTGAGAAGATTTCAAGCAAGGCATGAAATGTAGTAAAAAATATAGCAAGGTTAGAAGGCACTCTCAAGAGGGAGGGAGGGCTCCTCTGAGAGGAGAGTGGAGAGGAAAGCAATGACTCACTTCTTTGTGTCCCAGTTTTTACTGGGGTAAAAGGGAGATTATTAGAAGTTCCTACCAAAGAGCACCTCT